CGGGGGGGCCCCCCCGCGGGGAGGGCAGGAGCCATAGGCCCTGCCTAAAGGGCCCTGGGCTGGGACCCGGTGGAGAGGGAGGGCCCAGGTCCCCCTACCACCGAGCCACTCCCCCCTCCAGGCCTTGGATAATCAAACCCTGGGCCAGGAGAAGCTTCTCGGAGGGACTAGGCCTCTAATACCGTATATCCCCTGATAGAGGGGCCTGGACTTGTGTTGGGACTTTGGATACTGTATATCCCCTAATAGAGGGACAAGGACCTTTGGGGTGCAGTATAGGGCCGGACTGAGACATGGGCCAGGAGAAGGGGGCCGCAGCCTCCGTCAGGGGCATACCCCCTGACAGGGGGGTTATTTTGAAATAAAGTCCTAGTGTAGACTGGGGCAGAAAAAATACTTGGCTCTACTACTGGAGTTAGAGCATCCACACGTTAATTTGATTGTTGAAACTTTCCCATGTAGACCAGCCCTTAATCATTGAATGTGGATGAAAACTCCAGATGAGGTTGCAGGAAGATTTTAGAAACATTGACAAATGCAGTTCTGTTGTCAGTGACTCCAAAGAACAGTGTAGTAAGGTCCAGTGGCCACCCAACTCCTCCTGTTAAATTATGTGTTCATCTAGCAGATGGCTTTTAATTTCCTGAGAGGAACAGAAGATACAGCGACTGCCAAGCTTTCTGACATTTTGTCAGAACGCGCTGTGAGGTTCCCCCGTCGACTTGCACCTGCTTTAGTGAGGAGATTGGGAGTCTGAATTTGAAATATTTATCCCCCTATGCTGCAATCTGGGAACTTGAATGCTTGTTACAGGCCCCCAAGTCGATACCCAGATTTTTCACCCTATTATATACAGCCAGTCCCCAAGTTACAAATGGGTTACGGACCAAACACTTGGCCGGAACTCGAAATGTTCGTAAATCGGCAAGGACGGATATAGGGCAGGGCGAACGGGGCAGCCGTCCTGGGCTTGCGCTTCAAAAAGCCCCACGCATGCGCCGTGGTGCCACCGCACATGCGCATGGCGTCACTGCGCATGCACCGTGGCAAAGGGGGGGCCCCGCGGAATTATGCTGCCCGAGGCCCCGCAAAACGGTCATCTGCCCCTGTAAATTGGACCCCATTGAGTTACATTGCGAACGCGCTGTTCATAAGCGTGGGTCATGTTCGTAACTCGGGGGCTGCTTTTATGACCGCTTACTGGGAGGTTTGGTTGTAAATGCGAATGATCGTAAATCAACCGTTCATAACTCAGGTACTGACCTTATAGGAATGTAGACCAGATTTCCATTGTTTGCTTATGAATTGGTGTCCTATAAGACCCTTACGGTGTGTAAATTAGGGTACCATTATGTGAATGCAGTCCTGCAGCGGGGTGCTGGAACAATTTGTACAGTGGAAGCCATGCCGAAAGCCATTAAAAACAGACTGTAAGCCCCAAAGCTGTATATGATGGAAACTTTTCAAGCCAAGTGGTGTGGTAGCTCCCCAGCCCCCGTACCAATGATGGGAGATATCATTGGTGTATTGCATGCAGCAGATCACCGCCATGGCTATACAGGTTTCAGAATTACTAGCTACGTCACTGTTTCCAGAGCAATGCTGACATCAGCACTGACAGGGAGGTGATTTGTCAGTGGTTATAGTAGTAGCTGGGAGTCAGTGTAATGCCACTAGGTGGAATTGAACCTGGAACCTCTGGAGCTTAGTGCATGAGCTAAGGCTGTAGAGCAGACTCCTTAATCTCTCATTGCCACTAGATGGGACAGTGCCCAGCAGCTGTGTGGGTTACATCAGGATATGTTGCTGCAAGACTTGCTGCTGTTGCTGGGTGGCTAGCTGCTGGAGCAATTGGGTCTGCTGCTGCTGTTGACAGTGCTGCTGATCCACAACCTCACTCACCTTTCCACGGGGTCGCCTGTATTCACCAGCATGTTGTAGCGGAGGCCAGCAGATCTAAGGCTCAAGCCACAGTTAAACGGTCTCTCTGAATCTGGGAGAGTTGTTCCAGGCAGTGCAAGGTTCCAGTGCAAATACATTGACACACATCCCCTCCATCTCCAGAGTCCCCTGGAATCTCTCAGGCAGGCAAGGGACAAAGGGAAGGGTAGAGGGATCCAGGATCTCCCTCTCTACCAGATCCTGGCCCAGTGTTCAAGGGGAGAGAGGTGAGAAGTGGCTCAGTTCCTTCTGGCTGCTATTCCAGATCAGGCTCCCCTGGGCAACTTCTTCCCTTTCCTGTGTTTTCCCTTCAGCTTTCTCTTTGCAGCCACAAGGAATTCCCAACTCACTTTGGGTATGTCTACACTACCCCGCTAGTTCGAACTAGCGGGGTAGTGTAGACATACCCTTATAGACTAACAGATGTATTGGAGCATGAGCTTTCGTGGGCAAAGACCCACTTCATCAGATGCATGTAGTGGAAATTTCCAGAGGCATGTATAGATATATAGGCATAAGAAAAGAGTACCAATCAAGAGTAAGGCTAGAGATAACAAGGTCAATTCAGTCAGGGAAGATGAGGCCCACTTCTAGCAGCTGATGTGGAGGTGTGAACACCAAGTGAGGAGAAACTGCTGGTGAGGTTGGCTAGCCATTCACAGTCTTTGTTTAATCATAAGGTGACGACGTCAAATTTGCAGATTAACTGTAGCTCAGCAGTTTCTCTTTGAAGTCTGTTCTTGAAGTTTTTTTGTTGCAGGATGGCTACCTTTAAGTCTGCTACTGTGTGTCCAGGGAGACTGAAGTGTTCTCCTAAAGGTTTTTGTATATTACCATTCCTGTAATCTGATTTGTCCGTTTATTCTTTTACGTAGGGACTGTCCCAAACTGGACAGTGGCATTGGCTCCCTGTGGTTTTAGAAACAACACGTCATTTTTTGTTGCCCTAGTTTTCCCATCCCTCTGTGCAGTGTGACCCCAACCTTCCCCGGCTGCCCGGGAACCAGACAGCCGTGCCTCATGACCCCAGCCACAGGGGAGCCAGGCTGCTGCACCATGCCACGTGTCCCCAGCCTCTCCCGGGCAGCTGGATAGTGTAGGCAATTTTGGAAGGCAATGCCTTCCCTTGCCTACATCACTAGCCACGCATAGCTGTTGGCCTAAAATGCCACCAGCCACCCCAAAGAAACGTGAGCTCCCTTGAAAGGTCAAGTCCCAGCTCCTCAGCCATTCTCCCTCCTGTGGCCCAGGGAAGGGGGGGAGGGGCACAGAAGCTGAAAATTTGGAAACCAGAGAGAAGTCCCTCTTCTAGGAAAAGAGTCTGCCCTGGAAAGAGTTTCCTGAAAACTCCAGGTGGAGGGAGCTCTTTGTTGCCACCTGTTGGTGAGCAAGGGGAAAAGACTGAATGGGGCAGGCCTCATTTACATTTTTCTTAAGTTTGGGATGTTTGGATAAAATTCACTTATGTTTGGGTGGCGGTGGAATTTCATTATCCCAATTGGAGAAATAAATTACTAGTGAATGATACAAAATGTGCCTGGAAGGAGGGGTCATTTACAGTCTGGCATGACTGGGTAGTTGTGCCTGGGCTCCAATTAATGGGAAAGGGATTTTTCTTCGTATTGATTACTTCCGGGAGATCAAGCTGTTCATTAAATGTCTTATGAAACCGATTCAAAAAACGAACAGTGGGAATGCAGTCTAAGGGTACGTCTAGACTACATAGCTCCGTCAAGGGAGCCATGTAGATCTGTTTGTTTGGCAAAGGGAAATGAAACCGTGATTTAAATAATCACGGCTTCATTTAAATGTAAATGGCTGACCCGCTTTGCCGATCAGCTGTTTGTCGGCAGATCGGGGCAGTCTAGACGCTCCCCTGTCGACATGAAACCCTTTTATCGACCTCCCCGGTAAACTTCATCCTATGAGGCATAACGGGGAGGTTGATAAAGGGCTTTCAGGTCAGCGCAGAAGAGTCCAGACTAGCACGCTGAGCCGACAAACAGCTGATCAGCTGTTTGTTGGCTCAGCACGGCAGCCATTTAAATTTAAATGAAGCCGCGATTATTTAAATCACGGCTTCATTTCCCTCTGCCGATCAGCCTAATCTACATGGCTCCATCGATGTAGTGAAGACAGGCAACATGAATTTCTTGCGCAAGAAAGCCCTATGGTTAAAATGACCTATGGATAAAAGCACATCTCTTGTGCAAAAGCACGTAGCAGTGTGCACACACTCTTGTGCAAGACCTTTTGTGCAAGTACTCTTGCGCAAAACAGTTCATGCTCAAAAAGCCTGCAGTGCAGACGTAGCCACAGAGTTCTCATTCATCTAGGTTCTCCCCCATGTCCTGGCCAAATTCCATCTTGGGCAATTGCATTCTGCCTCTTTACTTCCCCCTACAGCTTCAATTTGCTTTGCTTCTTGACTTTGATACTGTGTGCTATTAAGCAGCTGTTGTGTTTCCCATCAGAGGTGGCTTCATAAAACTGATCTTTGAGCTCTAAGGCAGGGATGGGCAACCAGGAATGGTGGATGGGTCACATGAGTGGCCCTCCTTCACCTCAGTGGGCTGTAGCAGCCCATGGCCCAGTGGGGTTCCACCTGTGGCCCCATACCCTGCCCCATCTGGCCCTCCACACCCCTCTCACACCAGGGCACCAGAGCCCCGCACTTACCTGCGTCTCCCCCTCCCTCCCAGCACTTTCGGAGCATGCAAATCATCTGATTTGTGCTTCGTCCCCACTCCTCCCCATCAGCTTTCCCAGAGGCACTAAGTTGGCTATTGACTATTCTGCACTTTCAGAGCCATCCAGAAAACATGGAATGCTGTGAACAGCTGATTTGTGACATTACAACTCTGGGAAGGTGGGGGAGGAGCAGGGATGCACCTCGAATTGGCTCCTCCAAAGGTGCTGGAAGGGAGAGGGAGGAACAGAAAATGTGAGACTCTGGTGCCCCAGGTGTCTGTAGGGGGACAAACAGGAGGGCCAAAGGAAGAGCCCCAGTGGGCTGCATGCAGCCCACAGACTGCAGGTTGCCCACCACATAGTTTCAATGTGCAAAATGCCTGGGGATTCTTTAGGTATCTTAAATGATATATAGGTGCTACCAGATTGATAAGGCAGGCAGCATGCTGTTCACTTCAAGTATTGCAATTACATGTTCCAAAGACCTTCTAGAACAGCGGACGCATGTCTTCCGAACAGCGCTTAGAAATCCAGCTGACCCTTCCCAACTCTCTGCATACCTGTGGAATGTCTATTTTTTTCAGCTTTCCCAGAGGCGCTAAGTTGGCTATCGACTATTCTGCACTTTCAGAGCCATCCAGAAAACATCTCTGATAAATTGGACAGCAGGTGTAAAGATAAGGAGACAGGTGCTTACCTTCCACATCAGCATCTCTAGGTTGAGGAGAGAGGCTCCCTTTTAATGAGCATAATAAAAGAGGAAGGGAATACAAGAGCTGATGTGTTCAGTACATCTGTTCTGAAGGAGGTTAGGAGGTCAGGCTGTGGCATATGTTCCCACTGGTAGCTGAATTACCTCTTGATCTGCAGCTCTAAGGAGCTCGTACATCATTCATTAATTTGTTCCTTTCTGCTCTCTGTTTCCCATCCATTTTCCTCCTGACAAAAGGAGGCAGAATTTACCAGCAGAGAGCTGGCTGAGCCCTTGTCTCTGTTACGGGAAGGAGAAGGTTGATGAGACAGGTGTGGATGGAGTTATCCTTGCTGCCTTTGTGAGGCATTCTCATTTCACATCCCTTCACAAGATCCCCCTCTCTGTGGCCTCAAGAAGGACAAGTTAGGTAGACAGAGGAGGAAATCCATCAACCTTGTCAACCTGGTGAATTTTAGCATCTTGATTCTGACACGTTATTGACAAATAAAAATAGTTCCATGACTCAGTCGGACTTGGGCGGAGGTGGAGGACACAGGGACTCACCATTCCCTTTAAAAGGGCTGAGGAGGAAAGAAAATCTCATTTGTCAGGATCCGTTAGACGGAACCCCATCTGTTTCTGCCTGTTCCTCACCATGGTGCAACATACAGTGCGGAAGCGAGTGACCAAATGTGTACACTGATGGGGCACCCCAGAGCATATGTAAGTGGGCTCAGTGGTATTTTCAGCATATCAAGAGACAGTCTCAAGGAGATCTCTATGGCCGAACCTGTCACACAAACCCTTCCTCCCTGGGTCAGCTAATCTGGGATGAAAGAACCTCAAAAACTAGGTAAAAGGCTTTTCTGTATGGACAATAAAGTGCTTTGGGCCAACACCCAGGTGGAACCTGGGTTACTTGTGCAGTGAAGATATACCCTAAGACTGCATTTGACTGGTGTGTTCTGGGCCAGGTTCTTCCCATTTCCACCACCACAAGCCTCGCTGACTTATGGGGTGACACTCTGGGTGTCTTGGGGGGGATTCGAGGGGGCCCAGTCTGGCCCAGTGGGGTGCATGCACTGCAGAGTCCAGCCCTTGCTGAAAAACTTTAATGAGATTAATCTGCTGAGGTGACTTCAGCTATCTAGAGTCCTGCAGGGATAATGGGGAAAGAGCTTTGGCCCTGGGGAACGGCTGGACAGCGGGTGTGTGTTTGACTGCAGAACTTTCTGAGCTGGCATCTGAGCAAAAGCCCATTGAAAGACTCCCTTTGATTCCAGTGGGCTTTGGATTAGGCCCCAAATGATGTTCTGGCACAGGTTCAAAGCTAAAAACCCTCCATGCAGCAGCTTTAGTCATTCAGTACCTCAGCCAGGTCTTCGTAATGCCATCCTACAGGGGAGAAATGCAACACTAGTAATTAATCGTGGCCAAGTTTTGGGCATAGCCAGCTGGTGAGGACAGCAAATCACATAGCTAATATTGAAAAGGGAAGTGACTTTGAGCTTATTTTGGTAACAGGAACATTTTGTGCCTAGAGATGTGTCCTTCCCCCTGCTTGATGCTTGATCTATTCAGTGGCATTTACTGCACATTGCTTTTCTTTTTCTTTCCACCTCTCTGGTGGCTCTTAATGACGTTAAAATTGGGTCTATTAATCCCTTGCCTGAGATTCCTTCTGGGTTTTTAAGTAACTGTCAGCCCCCACGTGTCTTCACAATGATTGGGCATAGCGATTGCCTAAACCTGCGGAGTTTTTATATTTCCATCAAAGGCAGAAATCCATGCACCTGACGCCGAATTTGAGAGGCATGTATACTCCCTGCATAAGAATGCTTTTAAAAACCCACCCCCAGGGTGATTTTTAGAGGGTCCCAGGAGAGCTACATTTGAAGGAGCTTCTGTTTCTTTTTCATCACAAGTTTATTTGCTCAAAGCCGGGAATGGGCAGCGTAAGGAGGCATGCTGAGAGGACCAAGCGCTGCTGCTATTTGCGTCTAAAGATGGTTTTGTAAATCCATTTCTGAAAGTTGGCAACGGCTGTGTAAACACCTGGGTACCTGGGACTAGCACAGCTGTTCCCCCAGGACACAATACCGAATACTCGGCCCTCACACACCAGTGGCCCGCCAGAATCCCCCTAGAAAAGAAGCAGACAAAATAAATAGTCTTGAGGTGACCTGTCCATCATAGTCATAAACACCTCGCCTGTCTATTCAGCCTATTTATAAATGATCTGGAGAAGGGGGTAAACAGTGAGGTGACAGAAATTTCAGCTGATACTAAATTGCTCAGGATAATTAAGACCATAGCAGACTGTGAAGAGTTTCACAAAGATCTCACAAAGCTAAGTGATTGGGCAACAAAATGGCAAATGAAATTTAATGTTGATAAAGGTAAAGTAATGTACATTGGAAAAAATAATCCCATCTATACATACAATACTATGGACTAATTTAGCTATAACTACTCAAGACAGAGACCTTGGAGTCATTGTGGATAGTTCTCTGAAAACATTCACTCAGTGTGCAGTGGCAGTGAAAAAAAGCAAACAATGTTAGGAATCATTACAGAAGGGATAGAGAATATCTTATTGCCGCTATATAAAACCATGGTACGCCCACATCTTGAATAATGTGTACAGATGTGGTTGCCTCATCTCAAAAAAAGACAGTGGCACTGAAAAAGGTTCAGAAAAGGGCAACAAAAATGATTGGGGTATGGGGCCTGTTCCAAACCCCAAGGAAGAGAGATTAAAAAGCCTGCAGTGTAAACATAGCCAGAGAGAGGAAGCTGGAATCCCAGAGAGATTTAGTCTAGACCATGGGGACATTCTGCACCTTCCTATATGTTGTGCTGCATCATCATGCAATGACTCGGCATCATGAGATCATGCCACAAAGTTAATATGCTGATTCGGTCCTACCAGAAAAACGTTAATTAAAAAAGAGGAGACCACTGTAATGTACATTGGAAGGGATGCCGTCAGCCCCATTGTCCTGAATTGCTATTATCTTACCCAGGAAGAGAAAAAAACTAGATCATTTCTGGCTTGCCATTTTGGTTTTTTTGCTATAAAAATAGATCCACCTTCTCCACCCACCCTCTGTGCTTCAATTCCGAGCGTGAGTCATCCTCCGTTGGGAGGTGTATGATCAAGGCTTTAACTCTATGGGAACTTAAGAACAAAGGCAGACCTGAGGGCCGCTTTCTACTGCGTTCCTGGTCATGCATTTTTCTCCAGATCGCCTCCCATGATGCTGCAGTAATGGTGGTTAAGATTTTCAGAAAGGACTAGCAGTTTTGGGTGCCTGACGTGATCTCCTGAGAAGAGCCTGTTGGTTTTTTTCCCCAGAAACCTCAGGAAACCAGGCTCTTTTAAAGGTGAACTGGGCACCCAAAATTTGAGTCCCCTCAAATTGACTAGTCACTGTTGATGGTCTTGGCTTGTATCTTCCAAGTTTGTCTCTCTCAAAGTATGACTTTCCTGCCATATGTGGAGGAGGGGATAGGTACTTTTTAAAGGACATGTGGCACTATGCCCCATATTTTTCATAGAGTATGTCTACACTAGCCCCCTAGATCAAACTAGGTAGGCTAATGTAGGCATTCGAAGTTGCAAATCAAGCCCGGGATTTAAATATCCCGTGCTGGATTTGCATCTTTCTGGCCGGTCGCCATTTTTTTTTTTGAAATGTACAAGTCCGGACTAACTGCCCCTGTCTACATGCAGCAGTGACCTAGTAGTTCGAATTAAAGCCCTAGTTCGATCTGTACCTTTTATTCCTCCTGCAAGGAGGTTTAACAGGCAGTTCGATTTAGGGGCTTTAATTCGAAATTCCAGCTCCCTGTCGTGTGTAGATGCAGGCAGTTAGTCTGGACTTGTAAATTTCAAAAAATGGTGATCGGCCGGGAAGATGCAAATCAAGCGCGGGATATTTAAATCCCAGGCTTGATTTGCAACTTCGAATGCCTACATTAGCCTCCCTAGTTCGAACTAGGGGGCTAGTGTAGACATACCCATAGTGATATGCTTACAATATGAACATGGCATTGCTAAGATGTATTATGCAAGGTGGATCATGTGAGATATCATTGGAAAGGTTATGATTTGCAGAATGTGATTATCCTATTGGAGAGCATGTATCATTTCTGTATCTAAAGTTAGAAATATCGACTAAGTATCCATTACAAAAGTGTTTGCAACTGGGTAATGCCAATGAATCATTAGGCAAGAACCATAAACACTGACGTCTCCTCTAGCCAGGGGTTGCTCACCCCTCACCTCCACCCCCATTCCACCTCTTCCCCCAAGCCCTCCCTCCCCCCCCCCCTTTTTCTTCCCCTTTTCTCCCCCCCCCCCCCGCAATCCTGGACACTGCAAAAAACATGTTTTCTGGTGGGC